TGACTGTACTGGCATGACTGTACTAACATGACTGTACTAACATGACTGTACTAACATGACTGTACTAACATGACTGTACTAACATGACTGTACTAACATGACTGTATTGACATGACTGTACTAACATGACTGTACTAACATGACTGTACTAACATGACTGTATTGACATGACTGTACTACACGGGTCACACGAGAGGAGCTCATCAGCCATGAACGACGGGAGAACCGAGAGGGAGAAATGAGGCCACAGCAAGTATTTTATGGATAATGTCCTCCGCAGACTCTAAATGTGTGGGAAAATTTCATAGTGACAGTCTCTCAGCTAAATCACCAAAATAATGAGTCTTCCTTTTCAGCCTAGTTAAGACCATAAAGTTTCACTTTGTTAACTTAGTTGTCGGGTTCTTTGTCTGTGCAGACGTTTGTATGTTCGTAGGTATTTGAATCCAGTAGAGTGGCAGGAACCAGTGGCGAAGGTTTCGTAACGGCAGATTGACCTTAAGATCAAGTTGGCACACTTTAGATGATCTCCCCGCAGGCTGGCAGGAAGAGAGCTAAACCGCTCAGGTACTACATGGAGGGTTCCTCACTTAAACGTCGGTCACAACGTATCCCACCGTACGTGCTTCTGCGTGCTGTCTACGTGCAAAAACGTAGGGCAAACGTAGGGCATCCGTGCGTGGTGAGTACCGCCTCGGATTTGGGAGCACGCAGACACGCCGTAGAACTTTGAGTGCATGTTAAACTTTTCTGCGTGCTGTCTGCGGATTCACCACCCGAACGTGAGAGTACGTACCGTACGTAAGCAGCACGTGCTCGTGTGAGTACGGCCTCCTTACAGTTAAGTGGCAATCGCACAGAGATCGTACGTTGTAAGCACGTACAACTTGCGCAACGAACGATGCACGCGACCGCTCACAGCCTGACGTGGCGTGCAGACCACACTCTTACACATTGTGCAACCGTGCGAGTGACGTGCGTGCGTTGACGCCTCTCCGTCCCCACGTTTAAAGAAAAACGTAGCAGACGTGGCCTCACAATAAAACGTACGGACAAAAAGCACGCACAGGGGGTTGTGACCGACGCTTTGGGTAATAAGCTCTCAGTTTCTGTTCTAGGTTCGGTGAAAGAACGTCAGACCATCTCTTTGATTGTTAATTAAAAAATAATAATAATAATTGTGCTATAACTCATGCCTGGGGGCTAATTACAAATACAAAAGGAACATTTGATATGTACATGTACAAGCACTACCGTATAACTCCTAAATCTACTGGGTGTGACTTCTTTGAAGACAGAGGAGGACAAAAATTACGACGTTTTCGGTAAAGTATGGGTTTTCAAATATTAAGAGAAGAGTAGTTTTCTGTACACGTGAGGAAGTTAGGGTGGAATTTGGAGGCTGCCTCAAAGAGTTCATTTCGTTCATTACTATAGAGAGTACAACATACATGTAAACCTCGGGGGGGGGGGGGATAAAAATACCCGCCCAGACTTTCAAGGCTGAAAAGGGATACATCCTACTGAAATGAGCCCTATGAGAATTATCACTTATTTTCTGTTCCTCCTATGGTCGGGAACTGTTATGACATCACCAGAGGGCACGGTTGCAATTAAAGAAGATCCTGGGTGATAAAACCACCTAGTGTATGATTTTGCAACGCCAGTAGCAGAGACTATTACCAAATACGGGTGTTGGGAATCTATGTTCGCTGGCATGGCGAGGAAAGAGCGAGTCAGCGGTGGTGAATGTTGGCCCGTATCGTGTTGTTACAACAGCCGCTGAACAAGGCATATTTCCTGTCTCCTTTGAGGGAGCACATCAGCCAGTCTACGCCATACACGCTGGAGGCGCTGTCAGCCCAGCCTAGGCAGATGACAACTGATCATCTGACAGCCTTCCTCAGGAGGGCAGACACCTACAGATGGAGCTCAATTCTTTCCTAGTCTTATGTCGGGAGCGCGCGAACTAGCGCGGGAGCACGCCGTGGCTACAGCACACAGTGACATTTCATTTCCTGCAGCGCGTTATCATCACCCTTGCAGCAAGAGTAGAGAAAAACGAGCGCCGAGAGGCGGTCGCGGATGTACTATAACCACCGGTCTCCTAAAAACTAATGTATGCTCTCAAGAATTTCTCATGAGGAAAGGCTGAACGGAGAAGAAACCCCTTAGAATGTTGTGTTGTTACTGCACGGGCGACGAGGAGAATAATTCCGGGTCCAACGCCTCCAAAAACGACAGTCCCTCTGCGAGCCAGAGCTTCATATCGGGGCCTCAGCTGGAAGGTAAGAACGTGTGATTAGCAAGCTGTCTTGTGCGATAAATACCAAGGATTTCAGTCATATCCCCCCCCCACACACACATCCCATAGTCTCACAACACCCGCCGCTCTTCACGGCGTGCCCGCCGCTGTGGTGATGTAACTATTATCATCAGCATTATTTTACATTCTTAGTACTGGTATTCTATTGCATTTCTTTTCCTATGACCTTTCGTCTGCTCAACTGACTCATTGCTGCTTCTATTTCTATTAACAACGACCATTCTATATCTTCTGTATTTATGGTTATTCTGTATGCTTATACAAAAAATCAAAGCGACGAGTTGACATAGCATAGTTCAATGTCGCTACAGAGACATTTACTACGCGTTAATGATGCACGAAGCCTCCACGGGCTATTGACAGCTGATAATCTGTAGAACCATTCATCCAATTACACCACCATCCCGGTCTGTAGGGTGCGCTGGGCTAGATCGTTCAGTTATTCATAATTGATATGTTTTCAAATGACTGCCTGTGTAATGAAAGGTTCTGCTTGTAAGGAATAGTAGCCGTGTACTACTGCACTGTACCGCCTACACATGTAATTCACCATGTTGAAATGGCCAAAATAGTGTAGAGTGTATCTCGACTCTGCTGTAGGCATGAGTGGACCGCTTTATTGCAATGCCAGGTACAATGACTGGCCAACTATTTGGAAATATATATGAACGAACGTCTTTATTACTATGATACCAACACCATGGTTGGAATTAGGGAAGAGTCTGTCCTATTTCCGTCCTCATGCAAGACGAACAGAATGCATTTTGTCATGCGAGGTGGAACAATGAATGCCATACAGTTATAGATGAAAATCTATCAGATTATGTTTGAAGTAATGAGGGGGTTTTAGTATGCAAGTCAGGATGTCCAGACAACCCTGTAGTCCGCAATTTATAAGTGATGTACACAAGAGGTCTATCTAATTGCAACAAGGATGACCGTGCTAAGGTTATTTCAGGCGTCATCAGTCTTCCGGGAATGCACCATTAGACGGGCTAAGTACGCCGTCACATCAGTCAAGGTCATAGCCACCAACCCAGGCGGGGATTGATTTCTAGTCGGGCGATGGGTGCTACTGTCGTATCAACTAATACAGCGGTGAAGGACTGCTTTATTCCAATAAGATCACATTCATTACCAGAGCAGCCAAAATACGTCTGAATTGACTCGGAGGTCTGACTTACAACATTACAGTCTGCCACGAGACTTACACCAGGGAAATAACACAACTGCTAGTTGATTTTAAAAGCTCACCAGAGGTATGAAAGTAACAGCAGTAAAAAAATTGTATCAAATTAATACATAGTAAATTCGATTCAATCATGTACATTTTATTGTGTTCAACGTGTCTAAGGTACCTACATGCCAAAAAATCATGAACATCCGTCGTTCCTTTGTTGACTTAGCCGTTTTCAAAGATTACGCCGTATTCCCAGAACAAGCAGCTGAGGGAACACACTTGATTTTTTCTTGAAATGAACAGCTAACAGCTATAAAATATGAATGAATGAATGTATGAATGAATGAATGAATGAATGAATGGTTTATTTAAAAAAGTACATTGCAGCCATAGGCTGAATCACGTACTATTTACTGTAGGGCACAATAACAACAGACATGATGCCTAAAAAAGAGAAATATTGTAGAACATCGTTAAAATCACCTTTACGTAAATCATCATGAGTTGTACCATGTAACACCAGAACGATACAAGAAAGTCAAACTTCCTGACACTCCGCTACAAAACAAGTTGAATCACCCCAGGAAGTGGATATAGGATACCATAGCATTTTTTTATTAAAAAAATGTTGTCCTTGTTGGCTGCTATATCGCCAACAAATGTCAGAAATGTGACACAACTGCACAACATGTTAAAAGTGTTTACAGTTACACAAATATTCTAATAAACATTGAAAATTAGTCACATGAATGTCTTTACAAAAAAATATCTCAAGTTTTTTGGCATAAGATGTTACACCAGGCCCCTGTAAAAAGGTGGGTTTATCTGAAACTACAACTAACTGAACTGTATATTGTTCAGTAAGCGGACTAGATATGGTACAGGAGAATTCTTAGCAATATGAAGTTCATAACAAATTTGACCTTAACATTTGTCAATATACCAAATATCATCACAATCCAAAAAGCTCTTCCTAAATCTGCACAAATATGAAGAAATACACATTCACCCACATCAAAAATAATGCCTCCATTTTCATGGAAGAAACTAGATGGGGCGTTGCGTGACAATCCTATCCATTGGATAAGACTCTCACAGCTATACAACCTCTGCTCTAACAAAACAATATATGCTCTAACCGATATAATATACAAGCCAGACACAAACATCTTCCCAAGACCTACGACTCAGCTCACTTTCCTAACCTCTTTTTCCGAACCAATCCTTCATCTGACCAGGAGCTATCTGCCACATAAACATGGCGGAGCATAATAAGACTCCAGGGGCTGGTTGTCTCAGCCTAGCTGACACTACCACGACATCAAAACCGTATGACGATCTACGACGTCATGAATTTCGCCGCGCACTAATGATAACAAAAAAATACAACTATTATGCAAATACTACGGCAATTTGCGTCATCCCCCTCGCCACCAAATGATGCCTATAATGCCTGCATGTATCATTAGATGCAAAGTTTGAGATGTCGGTCTGGGTTCCTGGGATTTCTAAGACTCAAGTCTCTGAATAAAAAGAAGGGGCTTACAATGACGAATGGAGTGGATGGCGTATAGCGACTGTGTATTTGTCATGCATGTACGGTTCGTGTCAGAACGGAATGTTTCTCACTGACAGGCTAGACACGTGGGAGAGGATGTGTTAGAGGCGTCAGTACCTTCCATGCTTACAAATGTACCTGCTGTACGTACCTTTAGATTTAATATCCAGTAGCTTATTTAACAAATAATACAAATAATACATTCGATATCAGTCAGTGTATGAAAATTATCAAACTATGTTTCCATCCAAGATAAAACACATTACAGCAGACTAGTGCATACCTAAATGTAACATCAGGTACAGATATCCGTACAGAGGTTTAGGTACAGGTCTTTAGGTACAGGTCCGGTCCTGTACCTGTACATGAACAAGTTGACAAATTGACTTGTGATCTTCAATGATGACAGAAACATGAATTAATCGTTAACAGAATGTTTATTCAGAATTCAGATGTAAAACTAAGAAGTAGGCAAACGACTTGTGCTTTCAACATATTTCAAATCAAAAACCGTTTTAAGCGCTGAGATTTTCATCGATTGATGTTCCAGGAATAACACGATTTAGTAGCAAATAAGTTAAAAGTTAAAAAAAAGTTAAAATAAGTGCTAGTCTATCCATATAGAGTACCGGTATATTGATGTTTTGTTATTTTGCTTTACCTTAGTGATATTCTCGGTACTGAGGCGGTAATCGGTACCTTTACGCAGAAGTACAGCAGATGCTTTATACCGTTTCTTTGCTTTGCCGAAACATGGCCTGCAGCCTACACCTGTGACAGACATAGATCTCCGACGAGGTCGATACATGGACATCCTACCTCCATCCGAAAGTTGGGCTGCATAGTAATTGCCATGTTACTTGGCGCACAGCCACGATTACATCCGTCTTGTCAAAGGCAGAGGATGTAATAACACATGCCCGGAACCACAGACGGTAGCCTGGCATTGATTTGTTATCAGGTAGACATAATTACACTCTACTGGGTAGGAGTGTTGAACGGGCAAAGAAATACAAGTCCATTAACTCTGACATTGATGTGGCGCGTACATTTCATGACGACATGGTCCATACCTACTGCGGTATCACCTTCGATACCATAGCAGCCACAATACGGCAGAATTGAAATATGCCCATTAACGTCGAGTCAGTCACAGAGACTTGTATCACAGATATGACATTACTGATAGTTGATTAAAACTCACCAGATGTCTCAAATGAACAACAGCAAAACGACTTGAATTAATAAACAGGAAATACATCTAGCAGACATTACAGAGTTCGGCAAACGATGAAAATCAGCTATATATCAGTCAGTAACCGGACCCCCGACGGTATAGTCCTGTTTTTAAAACCCACTACCGCGTGTGTTGATTTACTGTGTAGGGACTATAACGTTCTGTACATGGCTATGTGCGATTCTCTGGGAGATTAAAGCATACGGGTTAATGCAGACGACCGGAAATGGAGGTTGACCGTATAAGGTTACGTACGAGATATCAGACGTGCAAACTAAATCGTCATTGACAGATTAGGTCGATGTCAAGTCGTGGAGTAGGAGGGGCAGTGGGTAGCTTCTCACGGCAATTTCAGGTGTCAGCTTCAGTGACTGTACTTGATCTTGCCGCTAGGACACGAACACGGGGTAATACTTTTTTATAAGGCTATCAGTCAAACTGTCAAACAGTTGAAAGTACAAGGATATTTGCGCCATCAAGATGGAAGAGCCATTACTTCCGGGCACAGAAGTTGTGAATGGCTGAGCTGTGGGTTTGTGTATCTGTTTGTCCAGACAGAATGGGTTGATAGCATGTCGGGAGGGGAAGATTGAAAGGCAGAATGACAAGATAAAGATAACCTAGAGTCATAAGATGACCTAGAGTCAGTGGGAATCTGTAATGCGGGACACAGGTAACAACAATTTTTGACTGCTGCTCATGTAAGCCCCCTTCCACATACGCAAATACATACATACGCCACCAGAAACATACCCATCTAGGCAAAGTAATAATCAGATTTTGACCTTCATACCTTCCACCATATATTTAAAAAATATTAAACATATCGAAGCAAAACATATGTTCATTTATGTCATGAAATGTCAACACGTTTCTTACAGCACAATATTAATTTTTCGAGATGAAATAGCCTTCAAAGTAGAAAGGCAGATATTTGTTTAGGAGCAAATACAGTATTTCAGTCCATCTCCCTCCTCGTTTCAAAAT